GGATGTGATTCAGGCGGCGGTGGATGTGATTCAGGCGGCGGTGGATGTGATTCAGGCGGCGGTGGGTGTGATAGCGGAGGAGGCAGTTGTGATTGATGTCTGGGACCGTATTGTTTGGCCCAATAAAACGCAACAATATATTGATCTTCATTTAATGATAAATCATTGATTATGTAATTAATATATGATTTGTAATCAAGAATATTCTGTTAACCAAAAAAATAATCTCATTTTAAGGATTTATTTAAAAATATTTTTATAAAATATATCTATTGCTAACATTATTATAAAAGTTATATTAATTTTTGTAAACTGTATTTTAAAGTTCTTAATAAAGTTCGTGCCTTTTCATTGCAGACAATGTTTGCATACAATTTATTGAATAAATGAATGCATTGATTGAATTGATTGTTGCACTGAATTGAGTTGTAATCATATTTGACTTTTAATTTTGGAAGTAATGATTTGCAAAATAGGCTCCAAATTGAACAGCTTTTGAGTTATTACTAATAATAATAACTTATTAGCCATTGAAATAACTAACGATAACAAAAATAAGTTGGTATTCTGGGCGTTAAAGTGGTCACTTCTTTGGATATAACAGCTTTTGATGTCCTTGAATATTAAAAATTCTTCATTATATACATGTAATTTTCAAGTTTATATTACGTTTCAAGTTAGACGTTTAAATGTAAAGTGTATTACTTTTCAATAAGTTGCATAATAGTTTGCAATTATTTAACTTTAAATAAACATTTCATCTTTTAAATGTAAATTATTTTTGGAGAAAAAAACTTTTTTTGTAAAAGTAAACAACATTTATACACTACTTATACTGTGGATCTATTTATACATTACTTGTTAATCATAAATCCATTTACACTTGAATTGAAGCAAGAATTTAAAATTTTAATCAATAATTATTAATGAATGTAAAACTTGATATTACATTACCTTAAGTTATAATTTTATTAATTATCAAAAGTGGCGACAAATTAGTGCCAAAGCAATGATTGAATTGATAACAATAATATTTATCATGTTGGGAGTGACAGCTATATCGTTATGCTATTGCATTATTTGCAATAAAAATTGTTACAATTCTATTACAGCAAATAATGGCCATAAGAATTATAGGAGTCATATGACTAGCAATTCTAACCATTGTTCATCTTCTTATGATTACGATAACTCTTTCAACAATACTAATAATGATTATATTAGCGCTACAAACCATGATTCCGGGGGGTGTAGTAGTGGTGGCGTTGACTCCGGCGGCTGTAGTGGCGACTCAGGCGGCGGTGGATGTGATTCAGGCGGAGGTGGATGTGATAGCGGAGGTGATTGAAATGTAGGGTGTCTTTTACCCCAATGAAACGCAACAATATATTGATCTGCATTTAATGACATTAATTATGTAATAATTATTATATGATTTATAATGAAGAATATTGAAAATTTAAAATACTCTGTTAACCAAAACATCTCATTTTTAAGCATTAATTAATAAAATATTTTATTCTTTTGGAAATATATCTTTCGATAACATTATTACAAAAGTTATATTGATTTTAGTATACTTTAAAGCTATTAATATAAAAATTAAAATGTTTAATAAAATTTGCATTGAATTGAATGACAAAAATTAATTAGTTTTGTGGAACTTCTTGGAGGTGTCGTTGGAGTGATCGATGAGGAGTTGGCACGGCTTGAACTGCGGGCCGTAATCATCGGCGAACTTCTTCATCCAATCGACCACTTTATTGGCGCCATAAGTGTCGACATAACGGAAGGGTCCGCCCAAAAACGGTGGGAAACCTAAACCAAAAACTGCTCCGATGTCTCCTTCGAGCTATAATTCGTACGATAAGACAATTCACACTAATTTAAGGCAATATTTTGCTAAAATACCGGATTCGCTAGAATTCCTTCCTGTAAACAGAGGGCCGCTTCGTTCACAAACCTCACGCCGAGTCTCATCTGATGTTCTTCTAGAGTACACCTATGGGTAAAACATTTATGAATCAATCATTTTCTAGAATAATATAATTAATTTTAAATTACTTATGTTTGGGTGAAATGTGATATTTATTGAGTATTTCTAAAGCTTTATCGTTCACTTTTCTGTCTTTAACTCCAGCCTCGTATATATAGAAACCTTTGCCTCCTTTCCTTCCTATTCATATCAATTGAGATAACAATTAATAACAGTTTAATTGAACAAAACTGACTGCAAAGTACCCGTAAACCCGGTGGCAACCATTTCCTTCAGCACTTCCATATTAGCGCCGGCAAAGCGTTCGCTAAATATTCTGCCGAGATCTTCGGCCACGTGTGCGGCCACGTCTATACCCACTTCATCGACAAGTGTGGCGGCGCCCACTGGGAAACCCCACGTTCGCGTTATTTTGTCCAATTCTTTAGGGGTCACGCCTTCCTGTAATTGATAAGTTTATTCAATATTGTTTTCACACATCTTATAGTAATTGCAATACAAAACCTGCATTAGTCTAATCGCTTCGGACATAACGGGAGCCAAAATGCGAGTCGTGTAAAAGCCCGGCCCGTCCTTNATAGCCCTTATCGACTGAGACCTGTGCGATGCCGGCGCCCATCAAACCGGCGCCCAATACGGCCAATGTCTTCGGCTCTTTAGCCGGTTTTCCAAACTTATTCTTTTTGCAAAGAGTCTGTCCGTGAAATAAACCGATCAAAGCCTTCGAGTGAGTCGTTTGACTCAATTCGGCGAAACCCTTAATCTCGGCTTCAGTTCCCGCCGGCTGTCCCTTCTCTAAGCCAGTCTTCACCACTTCAATGATTTTAAGCGGTGCCGGATATAAGCCACTCGTCATTTTCATCACCTGACCCCTCGCCTTATCAAAGATCTTATCTCTGATAAACTGAATGCCAATCGCAGACCGAAGGAGTCCTTCAATAACACAAATTGTTGTTAATTTTAAATATTGAAAGTTTTTCAATGAATATTACGTTCAGTCAAAGGCCTTTGTCGCGAGACTTTCAGTTTTCCACTCGCAATCTGTTTGGCAGTAAAAATGGCCACTTCTTCCAAGTATTCCAACGTTCGTTCTTCAGGTGATGTCAGACCCGGACCTAAAGGGTTCACGATTTGGTCGACGAGTCCCATCTTACGAGCCTTATCTGCTTTAATCATTTTCCCGGTTAGCATCATATCCAAAGAGTTGGGAACACTGATCTGAAGTACGACAACACCATTCAATTAGTATTGAACAAACATTTGGTTTATGACTTACCAGTTGTGGCAGTCGTTGTGTTCCTCCGCCGCCCGGAAGTAATCCTAACATCACTTCAGGTAATCCTAAATTAGTTTTCTTGTCTTTGACGGCAATCCTATAATGGGATGCGAGCGCCACTTCGATACCAGTTGTGGCAGTCGTTGTGTTCCTCCGCCGCCCGGAAGTAATCCTAACATCACTTCAGGTAATCCTAAATTAGTTTTCTTGTCTTTGACGGCAATCCTATAATGGGATGCGAGCGCCACTTCGAGACCGCCGCCCAAACACGAGCCCATAATAGCCGCGACCACCGGTTTGGGACTCGAGACCAGTTTGTTTAAGAAGGTGTGACCGCTTCGGGACAGATCTTCAATCTCTTGGGCAGATTTGGCTCTCTCTAGCATTGAAATGTCGGCTCCGGCTATAAAACACTCGGGTTTACCCGATATGAGCACAACTCCGACGGCACCCGAACTGGAGATTTCGTTGAACACCTCTTCGCAGTCTTTCATCACTTCCCGGGAAAGACTGTTGACTCTGGAGTTGGGAGAGTCGAAGCGGACCACAGCTATGCCGTCCTTCACCTCGTAGTTGACATGAGTCCGACCTAATCATCACAATCACAGTCTCAGAGCGTGTCTTGTTATGCAACGCATCCAATACTCACGCGCTGTGGACAGACATCGGGAGTGATTGTACACCAAATGCGACAATCGGTTCGCTCTTAAGGCTGAGATCATTGATCGGTTGGCCGTCGAGTGAGACACCAATGCTAACAGTTTTGCAGACATTTCTCACTATTTATGTATCAAATGATTGCTTTGGATATCAATTACTCCTATAATTGAACGACAGATCAAAAAACTTTGCGAACAAAACGTTTTGTGAAATCAATTAATTTAATAATAAATGAATGCAATTAGAAATTAATCAATAATTAAAAATTAATTACAAATTGTTTTTTGCTTTTGAAACCAACAAAATATGAGGAAAAAAGTGATGTAAAAATATATAACAATTTAAACAAAAGTATTATTTATTCACAAAAATTGATTTAAACTCACATTTAAATCAGTGTTTAGTTTATAGACTGCGAGTAAAGTCTAAATGATATGAAAATAGTTGTCATTTAATCGCAAAAAACAACTATTTTTGCAGTACTTTTGAGTGCAAAATATTAGACCGGCTTTTCGTATGCACTGTATTTGTGATCAATACTAAACACAAATAACGTTACATTTTGTCGCCAGTGGGATTGTTCAAAATTCTTTAATTGATATACAATGTAGTATTCATTAAATTTTTGGGGGCAGTATTGGCGTGTTTTTATCGTAACATTATATACAAACTGATATGATCTACAAAACAAGGTTTGTCTTCAAAGTGAACAGCATTAAACTCTCATCGAGTAAAACAGCTATGGTTTTAATAATGTAAAGCGTTTCCCATAGAGTTAACATAAGGTTTGAGTGCAAATATTATAAGCTATACTTTTGTTGATTAGAGGAATTGTGATAAGAAATGAATTTCAATGAGTGATGAAATGAATTGATTTGATGTGAGTTTAGTTGTCATTCATTTCATTCATAGCGAGTGTTAACAATACAATTGAATTGAAGACATGGAGTGTCCGAAAGTGTGTGCCGTTTGCATGTCTTCCCCCGTATTTCCCATACAATTGAGTTGTGAACACATTTTCTGCTATTTGTGTGTCAAAGGAGTGGTCAATAATGACAACACGTCTAAGTGTCCGGTTTGTCGTCGGGTATAATCACTTCCACTCTTTCGCTCATTTCTTAATCCATTTAACGTATGATTTTGTCTATCATTTTGCAGTCAATCGACGCCAATGTCTTAAAACATCCCAAATTTGTGGCCAATGGTGTGAACAGCTGTGACCGACCCGTCGGTGCTTTCGATACAATCCAATGGTTTTATGAGGGGAGGAAAGGCACCGGCTTTTGGGCTTACGATCACTCAAATGCTGTTATACTCGAAGAAGCCTTCATTAACGACCAAAAAATGTATTCAATCTTATTGTCTAACATTCAATTGATTCATAAATATCTTATTCCTGTCTTATCCGCAAAATAGGTGTGAAATAACGATCTCTGGAGTGATATATTGTGTAGACTTTGTGCGACAAATACAGTACCAGAAGTATCAGACGTCGAGGAAGAGAAGTATCAGAAGAGATCTCTTGTCTAACATAGAGTCGGCCAAAGGGATCGCCGGTGTGTCCAAGTATTTGGTCCGCAATATATTCACTGGTAATCAATCAAAGAGTTCAGACGGAGCCCACACTTCGGCTCAAAACAGCGCTAAGAATGTTAACAAGCATTCATTGGATAATTCAGCGGAAGAATCGGAAAGTGAGGAACCGATCCATAAGAAGGTTAAAGTGGAGGTCAAAGTAGAACCCGATTCTACAAATAATACATAAATTGTCGCATTTTTTGAACATTATTTTATAAATATCTTATATATGTTTTAAAATCAAAAATATTATATTAATGTTTGAAATTAATATTTAATTAAAGATTACATTTTCATTCTTGAAATTAAACCAAAAAAAATAAAGATTTAAACTATTGTTAAGTGATTTAATTGAAGACTTGAAACGATTGCATAGTTTTATAAACTTTTGATGACATATAAAGTATTGGTACAAATAGTTGCAAAAGATGTCACTCTTTAGACACTAAAATCCAAACAAAAATCAGTAAATATTTTGAAAGTAATTTTGAACTGAATTCAAGTGTTTGTTGTGTTTATGCATTGAATTGACCGCTAATTAGCTGTCAATTGAATTTGTATTGTAATTCAAAATGAGATACAAAACCATTTTAGTGGCATTTCTGGCGATTATAATAAGTATAATATATTATAAATACATTTCATTATTGTTTGAAAACGACAGACATTTCAGTCATTTATCGGAAACGGAGAGAGAAATGAGTTTTCGGTCAGAAATGGCTTTTTATTACAATTATTACAAACGAATGGCCGATAAAAATGATTTAATTCACCGAAACCTAACCGAAAGCCATGTGTTTGAAGCCATGGATAGTATATTATACGATAATATCACACAATTTCCACAAACTATTAACGCTTTGAAAAAGTTTAATATTTATCCCGAAGTAGTGATTGGTCTGAGTTATAGACTCTTCACTCAATTGATCTCATGGTTAGGCGTAAAGCCATTGAAGGAGTGCTTCCTCGTGAGCCGCGGATCAGATCTGGAACCGATTGAGAGCTGCGAAGGCCTCTCACAACCCATTTATTTCTATGTCTATTCAATATTTGCTTTCAATTCAATCGTTTCGGCCTTTATTTTCATCACCTCTTATGTGATAAGCGGTTCCAGTCTTTGCGGAGCACTTCTATCGCTATCTATGTTTGCTTATAATCACTCCAACGCTTCCCGCGTTCAGTGGACACCACCGCTGAGGGAGTCGTTTGGATATCCAGTATATCTGGTTCTTCACTGTTATATGAATGTCGCGATTGATAGCCATTGGAAACGATTTAATAAATGGATAATAATATCACTAATTGTTTGTTTGCATCTTTGTTGGCAATTCTCACCATTTCTTCTCTTATCACAACTCATATCACTTTTCCTAACATTTAAATGCTTTCAAAATGGGATTAAACCTATAGATAGCGAGAATTTCATTAAATTAATTAAATACCACTTTTACTCCGTTATGATTGCATTGATTCCCATGTTTTTCAACACTTATCTCATAAACTCATTATATTTTCATTTCATTATTTCAAACCTAATTTACGAACTCTTGCTTTCAAGGCATCAAAACTCAGTCATTGAGAGTATAATACACTTGAAATGCTTTAATTTAATAAATAGACGATTCGTTATGATCTCAATTAATTGCATGTCTGTCTTCTGTGTGACACTTGTGTCCAAAGTGTTGATCTCATTGCTAACCAATAATACAGACGACTCTCACATTTGGTATATATTGCTATCAAAGATGACATCCTATCGAGACTTTCACACCATGTTATACACCTGTAGTTAAGTATTCTAGATGTTTGCCAATTAGCCCTAATTAGCCGTAGCGATGCTTATTATCTAATTCAATGACAATACATATACAAATTGTGATGTCATATAAAGTTTACATGACCGTTATGATTATGTTATGCTATTATGCTATCCCCTATTATATCATACCTGCATACTATAGTTGTATGAAAAATATGCTAATTTATGACAATTGTAATTACAGTCCAGAATTTGATATAATCTCGTTAGAAGAACTACAATCGCTAATATGGACACTATTGGTGCCGATATCGGCGTTGGGAACAGTGGTGTTGTGTGTGCGTCAGCCCCGGGATCCCCTAATTCAATACAACCTTGTTCAAACAATACTGTTTATGATAATGTGCATATTAATAATGAGGTTTAAATTATTGTTTGTGCCCCAATTATGTATAA